TTAATATTTATTTTTTAGTTTTCGGTGGACACAACATCTTTGTTTGTATGTGGTGCTGAGAATCGAACCCGGGCTGCACGCATGCCAGGTGAGCGAGCTACCGCTTGAGCCACATTCCCAGCCCCTATTTTTTAAAATTTATTTTTATGTGGTGCTGAGGATCCAACCCAKTGCCTCACATGTGCTAGGCAAGTGCTGTACCACTGAGCTACAACCCCAGCCCGACAGTTCTTTTTTTTTTTTTTTTTTAAATTTTATTTTTAGAGAAGATTTTGCTGAGTTGCCCACGCTGGTCTCAAACCTGTTATCCCTGCTTCAGTTTCCTGAGTAGTTGAGATTTCAGGTGTGTGCCACCATATCTGGCTGCTCTTTTGAATAAAAACTTCATCCTCAGATATCTATTATTATTTTATTCAACAGTAACTTAAATTTAGTATACTTAATTTAAAAGAATGTTTACGAGCTATTTTGTTTTAATAAGCTCTTCATTATTGAAGGTTCTTTAGCTACTTAGTATTATAGTGTCGAATAATAGGATTATTATTACACATCTAAGTTAATATGTCAAGTTTCAATTCATAGCCTGTTGTAAACTACAAACTTAAGAAAAGTTTATTTTTGTTTTGTTTTCAGAAACAGTTGAGAGCCAGGCCTTGTACCTGTGTTGTCTTTCTTAAAATCTAGAGATTTTCTCACTGTAACATTGCCTGTGAATGAATATAACTGCAGATTAGGAATTGTGATCTATATTAATAGTTTTACTATTATGTTGGTACTAGGGATTGAACCCAGATGCTTTAYCTCTGAACCACATCCCTAGCCCTTTTTGTTTTTTGAGATAAGGTCTTGCCAGATTGCTTAGGAACTCACTAAATTGCTGAGGCTGGCCTTGAATTTGTGATCGTCCTGCCTTAGCCTCCCAAGGCACTGGGATTATAGGCATGTGCCACTGCACCCAGCATACTTGATTATATTTCAATGAGAGCCACATCTGTGAGATGTGTGTTAGTGTTGTATAAACTGTTTCTATATGCTATGGTGTATATATCTCAGCGGGCTTTGTCTTAGCTTTGTCATTAAATATAGTTGTCTAAGGTGTCAGTAAATATTTCAGTGACACCCCTCTAGGGTCTAAGATTTTCTAAGACTTAGAAAATTGCCCTTAAAGACCAATAGTAGTTCATTTGTAGTATACTCATCTTTATCATTCATGGGTAGGTTAAGTTTTAAAATCAAACCAAAGTGGTTTCAAGTACAGCTAGTGAATAAAAAGGGAGCAAATTTGGAAAGTACCATCTGGAGGCAAAAGATTAAAAAAAAAATCTTTAAAATAATGAGAATTTCTTGTCGTTTGGATTCTATAGAGTAGGCCAGGCAAGTTTAGAATCAGAAAAGGAAACACACAAACACACACACACACACACACACACACACACAAACACATATCCTGTCACACCTTTACATTGGCCATTGTTCACTCTGATGTTCGATTTTGTAGGGCTTACCTTTTAGAGTCCTGAGACTTGAGAGCCTCAGGCAACTGGCCAGCATTATCCTTCCTCAGCAAAAGTGAAGCTAGAGCCCTTTCTTGAGGATTATATGTGAGTGAGTTGTTTACTCACAATATGTTATGCCTGTCAAACTCCTGGACAGTCTCTCACAAAAGAGTTATAGACTCTCTGTCATTTCACAGCCTTGGTGTTCATAGGTTTAAATCTAGAGAGTTAGATATTGGGGATTCTGAGTGATAAGATACCTTAGTAGCTTCTGTTGTTTCTTTTCTTTCATTCTTTTTTAAGTCTAATTGAATTTAATTGTTGAAAATAAATAGATTTTCTTCTCTGATTACAAAATTATTGTCAGAAGTTTATAAAAAATGGATGTTTAGAGAATTCATAAATATTGGAAAGCAGCACATTTTTTTAAAAAAATATTTTTTAGTGGTATTTGGACACAATACCGTTATTTTATTTATTTATTTTTATGTGGTGCCTGTGTGAGGCCAGTGCTGTACTGCTGAGCCACAACCCTAGCCTCTCTCTATGCAGCACATTTTTTATAACAAGGGTTAAAATGAAAAAAATTTTTTTTCAGCTGCTGTTGTTTCTAATATGAGCAACTGCTTTTGTTTCTAAGATGTTTGAATAATGCCCCTTGCCCATCATAATCGAGCAGCATGCCTACAATACATGGCAGTTTTCTGACTGGTGTTAGGAGATCAGTTCTACTAAGAGCAGTTTGGCCAGGCAACGTGGTGCACGCTTGTAATCCTAGTGGCTTAGGAGGCTAAGGCAGGAGGATCTTAAGTTCAAAGCCAGCCTCAGCAAAAAGTGAGGCACTGGGCAATTCAGTGAGATCCTGTCTCTTAAAAAAAAAAAATAAGGCTGGGGATATGGCTCAGTGGTTGAGTGTCCCTAAGTTCAATCCCCTGTACAAAAAAAAAAAGAAAAAAGAAAAAAAAAAAAAACAACTAGAGTAGAGGTGGCCAATCAGTAAAACTTATTTAATCCCACACCATTGCCTGCAGAGTTTTTGTCATTAGTCCTTAAGAAGCTGATTACCTTGGAGAGGAGAAGCCTTAATTAATAAGTTCTTAGTTCAAAACTCAGTCAAGGTTCACCCCTGTCATTTTTTTGATGCAATCTTAACTATTAGTAAGGATTTTCAAAGATAATTTAAACCCTAATATTTAAATAATTCATTGTAAAACAATAACAAGTATTTTTTGAGTGCCTATTAAATACAAACCATTTCATTAAACATTTTATAGGCCTTAGCTAATTGAATCCTCACAAAGACTGTTTAAGGTAGGTTATCTTATTCTCCCCATTTATACAGAGAAGACAGCTGAGGCACTGAGAGGCTAAGTAACTTAACCCAGAGTCATGTAGCAAGTAAGGGAAAGAGTCAAGGTTTTGAACCATACAGTCTGACTCTGTGTGTGTGTGTGTGTGTGTGTATAATTTATTTATTTTTGTACTGGGGATTGAACTCAGGGGCGCTTGACCACTGAGCCACATTCTTAGCCGTATTTTGTATTTTATTTAGAGACAGGGTCTCACTGAGTTGTTTAGCGCTTTGCCATTGCTGAGGCTGGCCTTGAACTTGTGATCCTCCTGCCTCAGCCTCCCGAGCTGCTGGGATTAAAAGTACCCAGCCTGACCCCATATTAAAATGTGTTAATACTGCCTTCCTTCAACAGTAATGGATTATTTAAATTTTTTTTTAACTTGGTGTAAAGAAAGGAAGTGTACCTAGTCTCAGAAAATAATGCTCCATGTATGYGCTGGAGGAATGTGATCATTGCAAAGGCTTTTGCAGGTTTTAATTTTGAAGTATGTAAGGACTTTTGGTCGAGCTAAAGAATCTGCTGTACTTTTGTGTTGCTCACAGTCAGCCTTCATTGGTGTTATTTTTAGGGCTTTTCTCTGTGGGTTTCTGTTTCAACACCAGTGGGTACAAGGACTCAATCATGTACCAGCTCTCTTCTCATCATCAGCCCTGAGCTGACCCCAAGAAGGGGAAATTGTGACCCAGGTCCAGCTGCTGGCCTGTCTGTCTGTCTGTGCTTTCCAGTCTAAGTGCTGATTCCCTCTCTGAGAAAATTGGAAAGGCTCCTGGAGGCTGCTGAGAAGCTTTGATGTAGAGTTAGCAGTTGAACAGATTGTCCTTTAGAAGCAGCCAAATTTCATTTTCCAGATTGAAAGACAGACTTCCAAGAAAACTTTTCTTTTTAATGTTTTGTTCTAGCATCCAAGAAAAGACCCAACTTCAGATCCAGRCTTGAGAGTTTCTCAGGGCTATTCTGGTTCTAGGTGGAGGGCTGTTGGCCCACTCTCAGATGGCGTGTGTCTTAATAGCTGAGCCTGGCCAGGCCAGCCTTCACCTCCCTCCTGCTGGGCTCAGAGAGGAAGTCCACTTGACAGCTGCAGGGCACCTCCCAATAGGCTCTCCAGAGTATTTTGGTGTCACTTAGTGACAGACCTGGATTCAAACCCCAGCCCTGCCACTAGCATCTTAATATTGTGGCTGCCCGCAAGTCACTTAGCCTTTCTGAGTCTGTTTCCTCACCTCTAAAGAGAGGATTACAATGCTTCCCTCCAGGGTTAAAGTGAGGATTAAGTGTGATAATATATTAAGATGACTAGTAGTAGACCTGGCATGTAGCATGAGCCCTGTTGGATGTTGGATGTTGGATGTTAGGCAGTTAGAGTAGCAATTAAAAACACAGTATTTGGGCCAGGCATTGTGGTGCATGCTTGTAATCCCAGTGACTCAGGAGGCAGAGGCAGGTGGGTTACCAATTTGAGGTCAGCCTGGGCAATTTAGTGAGACCCTGTCTCAAAATAAAAAATAAAAAGGGTTGGAGATATAGCTCCATGGTAGAGCTCTTGGATTCAATTTCCTGTACCACACACACACTCTCCCCACCAAAAAGAGCATAGTATTTGGAATCAAGCAGATGTGAATTTGATGCCAGGTGTCTTATTTCATGGCTATATGACTTTGAGCAATTATCTTAATCTCTCTAAGTTTTCTCACCTGTCAAATGAGGATAATATCAATTCTTACCTAATAGGGTTGTTGGGAGGATTGGTTGAGCTAATACATGTGAAGCTCATAATGTCTGGCACATAGTAAACCCACAATGAATTTCTGCTCCTTATTAGTATTGGTAGTGTTAGTGTACCTCAAAGGATCATGCCTATGTTTTTATCTCCAAGTGATCCCTATTCATTATCATTTAGTAATTATATACCTCATCAATTGCTGAAAGAGAATGCGACTTCTTTCTTGAGTCATTGCTCCAAAGGATAGACTCTGCCAGAAGTGTCCACATTTCTCAGATTCTCTTGCTTCTTCATCCTTTTGCTCCAGCTTTTCTCCTTGTCATGAAATAAGGAGGGTACATTCAGTGGGAGATCCCTTTTCCAGCCAGAAACATTTTAGAGATCTGAGAAYTGAGAGGCTTGGATGTTTGATCACAGATCTGATTTGTGGGATCTGAAACCAAGAAGAAGCCCTGCCCAGTTTTGTCATTCCTGGGGGTGATGAAAGCCTTTGATTAGGTAAAATCTGCTTTCTTGTTCAGCTACAACTCTCAAGAATCCCACTTTTTTCTCCTGGTTATTTGGGTAAATTGTTAAGTATAACCATGACCACACCACTGGGTCACCTTAAAGAAGATAGGAAAAGGAGAYCAGAAAGGCTTAAATTTCTCAGTAAGGCTACAGTGAAAAAAAAGATGATATTTGAGTAGAGTAGGGGAGGTGGTCTTAGCTTAGATTTTTAGAATTCAAGCCCATGGGGCTGGGGATATGGCTCAAGCGGTAGCACACTCCCCTGGCATGGGTGCGGCCCGGGTTCAATCCTCAGCACCACATACAAAGATGTTGTGTCTGCTGAAAACTAAAATGTAAATAAAATATTAAAAAAAAGATTACAGATCAGGGCTGAGAATATAGCTTAGTCTTATTAGTGCTTATTAAAAAAAAAAATAGAATTCAAGCCCAGGAAGGGAAAATACTATAGAATCATGTGGAAGTTGGAGGGTATCCTAGGGACTACTCTAGGCCACCTTGTGCAAAATGAGAAAACTGAGACTGAGAGGAAGGACATGATTTGCCCAAGGCCATATAGCAAAGGCTGAAACTAGAAAGCTGGACTACTGTATGCAGTACTCTTTCAGCCCATGGTCTCGCCTTATGTTTCCACCGATCTTCTCCGTAGTAGCATAATCTGAGAGTACTACACTGCCAAATATTTTCATTGAACAAACCCTTACCAGCATTTTAAATATAATTAATATGCTTCATCTAAATTCTCACATTTATGCTTTATTATTATTTTCTAGGGTGCCAGATGCCTGATACTTTCAATTCATGGTTTCTTATAACCCTACTTCATGTTTGGTAAGTGAGCAATTTAAATGAAGTAACCAATTTTTTTTTTTTTAAACACTGTTGACTTGTAAGGTATGGCCTTCTGAGGGCCTGATTATGTGAAATGGCAGTTGTTCAGACATGAAAAATTGTTCCTTTCATTTTAATAACTGGTGTCTTGAAGCACATTTTTATTAAAGGTCAAAGCATAGGCCCAGAAAGAAACTAATATTTGTAGGATTTTTTTTAAAGAACACCTAACCCAGTGAACAATRCTATCAGTATCTCTAAGGGACTCTATGAGCTTGGATGGAAAGTTCTCTCCCTTGGCTGTTTTAGGAAAAGTTCACATTTACGTAAAAGTGGTTTGAATTGTGAGAAACCGTGGTCATTTTCACTGCTGGTCATCAGAAACCCTATAACAAATTATAGCACTGACATTTACGCCTGTACCTCCAAAATGTGCATACAGGTTAGATTCATGCCAGGTTTGTTGCGTGTAAAAATATTTGACACCTTAAACAGTATATTTTTTCTTCAGGTATGAAATAAGTAGCCAAAGAAAATCAATTTTTCATCTACTGTTACACAGTATTAAAGGTCAGAGGGATATAGGAGTCGTTGAAGTGGGGGGCTGGGGAATGTATTTTCAAACTGCCAGATCTTGGGGAAGTACATTCTGGAGAACCACATTTACTACTTTGACCATAGTATCTGAGGAACGTGGGCAATGGCCACCCTGTCAAAAGGACCCTTGTTTGAAATTGCCTTCAGCTGAGCCTTGCATCACATTGCTGACTACTATATAAAGACTTTTTGGTTTTGATCACTTCTGAAATGTTTCGTTTAAACTCACACCATCACTGAGTTTGGCTAAGGTGCCTAGGGTGGCATTTTATTTTGTGTTATTTTTTCATGAGTTGTTAGTTTATTGAATGCACTATGTCCTGAGAGCACTTTGCTTGGATTCTCAAGAATCTCACAGTGTAATAGGAAAGACTAAAACATGTAAAATGATCTGTTATAATTTGAAATGGCTAAGTTCTGTAATAAAWGTGAATAAGTAGTGATGTTGGGATCACAGAGAAAGCTGCAATATCAAATCCCTTCCTAGCTTTACCTGTTATTCTTTGAAATGTGCTATGACTTTTAGGTGGCTGAGAAGGCACACTGTCTTCCTTTGCTCTTTACGGTGAAGGTTAGGGAGAGGGTGTGGAAGGGAAGCTGGATATAGTGAGAGGAAAACTACTTTTTCAAGAGCCGAGGACTGCAGAGGTGGTACTGTAGAATTACTCACTGGAAAGGTGGGAGGGTTGAGAGAAGGCTAAACTGTTCCCAGAGGAGCTCAAAGATAATATTCAGACCCTGTATAAAAGACTCTTTATTGCTCATATAGCTAGGGGTATCAAAGTTGGTAGAGGGAGTGGATGGCAAAATAAAATATATAATCCCTATGACCACATCCCAAGGTCAATACCTGACTAACAGCAGCTGGGAGAACCTTGAAACTACTTGTAGTTCTTTAAAGTTTCCAAACTATGCTTACTGAGCCTTCATTACTGAGGCTGGTTAAATTTCACAGAGGAGTGGGTGTACCACCACCAGTTAAGCAGGGGAGGGAGGCTTTCCGCTTCAGATCTGCACTTGCTCTCCCTTTTACCCTCTCCCTTGCCTTTAGTTCTGATTATCTGCAGGTGTTGGGGGAATGAATCAGTAGCTTAGGACCTACTATGTGTTCAAGACCATGGGGTGTTGGAAAGGCTTTAACAGTCTGTGTTCAAGAAACTTTAGTTCAGTGGGAAGCAGACAAAGTATGGGATCAAACTGGATGATACACAGTCCATACTGGATGATAATAGAGTGCTGTGTGCAGGGCACAAGCAGGTGCTGTGGTACACAAATCCAGATTTGGAGGCAGCAAGTCAGAGGGGCATTGGATAAAGGGTAGCTCAGTAGCAGAGGTAATATTTGAGATATGCCACAAAGTGGGAGTAGAATTTCTGTTAGAACAAGGGAGGGCATGTTAGGTTAGAGATTATCAGGAGCAAAAGCCAGAACACATACAAGAATATGGAATGTTTGAGGGCAGCCAGTTTGGGGAGGAATGTAGTGGAAAGGTCACCATAAAAGTCATCAAATGCTACCAATTGTGCTGTGAACCTCCAAGAAGAATTGGAGAACTCTCTAAGAGATACAGGAGTGATGGATCTATCTCAAATCTATAGAGAAGTTGTTCTTTGAGCTCTGTCCTCTTTGCTTGAGGCTCCAGGAGTGTAAGCAAGGAATAGCCAATTTCCAAATTTTAGGGCTCAGTAGACTTGCTAGAGGTATGGGGATTGAAATACCTCTTGGAGGTAGGGCTGTGAAGGAGAGGTGGGGAAGCTTTGAAAACAGTCATAAAAATAGAAAGACTTCCCTAGCCCTCTCAAACAAGACCAAAACCAAACTGCTAATAAATAAAAATATCCTGGTAGCAGACTTTCCAGAGTGCTTGTTTGTGTTCCCAAGGGTGATGGTTCCCTGTAGACTCCTAGACTAGGGACAGAATTTCTCACATCCTGTTAGGTCTCTGGAAGAAGAATAGATGCTTTTTCTGTGAATTGGGATTTAGGACTGGGACCCTTCCAGTTCCTAGAAGGCCRTTATCAGTTGTGTATTCATGTGAGCTTGCAGTCTAGTGACTATGTGTCCATTGTTTTGCTGAACAAGATTAGAATTGACTGTGGCTGCTGAAAAACTGCTAGGCTGCTGAGTTATCCAGCATCCCTATGAGGACCTGATAAAAGCACCCCTCCTCCTCTTTTCCTTATCATGGCCAGTGGCATTGTGAATCCATTCAGATGTCTATACCAAAAACCTGCAGTTCTTGACTTTTCCTTCCCATCCCTTTATCTGTCACCTAATTCAAACTTTTTTTGACCCTGAGCCGTAGTTACATGCATTTTACTTTGTGACCCAYAGTGCATACGGGTATCTTAGAGTAAAGTTTTATAAAACTTACCTTTACAGTGTTGGGTAATCTCTGATATTTTATTTGGCTTCTGGCTTCCCGCTCCCCATTCCATGGTCTTCTCATTCCAACTTGGATCCCCTTCCTCTCTCAAGTTTTTTAGCATGGCATTTCTGTCCCAGCAGATGTGCTGCCTCTACTACTCTTAATTGGTGCCATTCTGCAAGTTTCTTCTCTGTGAAAGGCCCTTCTCCTTTCTTCCCTCCACTTGACAAACTCCAGTTTTTCCTTTAATATCCAGTTAAGGTGTTATCTTCCCTTTGAAGCTTTCCCTTCCCTCTGAAGTTAGTTCCTCCTCTTGTTCCTTTTGTACATTTTTTTCCATTTTAAAAAATTAAATTTGTTTTAACTGATATATTAAAACATAAAAGTTGTACATACACATTAATGTTCTACTTTGATACCTACATGTATGCATGATTTTGATATGCTACATGTATATGTTGTATAATGTTTAAATCAGGTTAAGCATATCTCTCAAACATTTATCCATTTATCATTTCTTTATGGTGAAAACTTTTAAAATCCTTTCTTTTAGCTTGTGTGTTGCGGGGATCAAACTCAGGGCCTCATGCTCTCTAGGCAAGCATTGTACCACTGAGCTACATCACCATCCCTCTTCTAGTTTTTTAAAATCTATAGTTTATTACTATTATCTCTAGTCATCCTACTGTGTAATAGCACAACAGAACTTGTTCCTTTCTAACTGTATCTTAGTACCCATATCCCTAACCTAATTTAATTGGGGAGTGTATTTGGGAGAACTTCACTGCAAAGGTGACATTTACACTGACAMTTAAAGGATGAGTAGAAGTAAATGAAAGAGTGGATGAGAAAGCACTCCAGGTGGAGGGATCTACTGGTTTTCAAACTTCTTACTAGCAGAGTTCTTTTTAAAAATGAAATCTTATGCTCAATCATAGTTATATAAATAAATAAAAGGATTGCTACTTGGGTTGAAGGAGGTGGACTYCATATCTGTACAACATGCTTACTATAAAAGACCCTTAAGTACCTCCATGGAAACTCAGATGATACTTTAAAAACCACAGACCCAGGGGCTGGGGATATGATACTTTAAAAACTACAGATCTAGAGGCTGGGGATATTGCTCAGTTGGTAGAGTGCTTGCCTTGTATGCACTAGGCCCTGGGTTTGATCCCCAGCAGCACAAAATCAAACAAACCAAAAAACCCCACAGATCTAGTTCAATTTCCTCATTTACAAATGAGAAGACAGTTTTGGAAATTGTGGATTTCTCACAGTCCACTTARTCAGAGTGGAATATCTAAGACAAATCCAAAGCTAACTATGTGAACTGCTCCTTCTGCAATGCTTTGATTCCTGCTTCAGTGTCCTCTCTTGGTGGCCAAGCGGCTGTGGGTCTCTTATTCTGAATGTGAACAGAATAGTAGGCACTTATTGATCCCAAGCTGTATGGCAGGCACTGTACTTCTGTATCTTGGTAAATCCTGAAAATGATATGGGGATCCTATAGTACAGATCACATGGGAGCACAGGGAAATGCCTGAACTGGTTGAGAACTTTTGCATTGGCCTTCTTGGGGCTAGAACCACAGGATATGAGCTTGAGGAGTTATTAGGATGGGAATAAGTCATTGTAAACTACTTTTTAAGAAGTTTCTGTAGAAAAAGATCCATATCATGCACTGGATTTTCCAACTCAGCATTGGGCAGAAAGCCTTCCCCAAATGGGCCCTCACCATTGGGGTGGCCTTCATCTGAAAGGAGACCTCCCCATTTGGAAAAGAAGGGTCCACTCACACTCTCACCTTTGGCTCCAGTGGGAGGAGGAAGAGGCTCAAAGGGCCCGGAGAATCCTCTGGACCATCCCACTAGCAGTGAAAGAAGAAAATCCAGCTGTGATAGGTTCACTGATCTTCAGAGAGCACCTTCTGGCATTGGGCCCCTGTCGCCTTCATGGGAACAGGCCCGCAAGATGATGATCCCTCTGCCAGGCCAACCATATTCTTCTGATCCACATCTTCCTCTACAAAGGC